GGTGTCCGCAACTGCCTGGTCACGGAGTTTCTGGGCCAGTCGCTCGCGAACCGCGTGCAGGAGCGCGGCAGGCTGAGCGCGCAGGACACCCTCCTGGTAGCCCAGCAGGTTCTTCAGCGCGTGGAGTATCTTGAGGGCTGCGCCGTCTGGCGGCGGCGGCCCCGGCCCTGATGGGACCCAGGTCTTGCGGTGCCGATCTGAGCTCGTGCATGCTTGCCTTTGTGTCCCTCTCTCTCTCTGTTTCGATCTCTCGAAGTCTCTTTCACTCTTTTTCCCAACCATCCTGTGGTGTTGGGTCCTCGTTTTGAAGAGACGGTGCCCCGCGTCTCCTCCCGCTGCCCCCTCCTCCTCCCCCTCCTCCCTCCTCCTTGCGTTTCACCCACCCAATACAGCGTTTCGTGGCCCCATAGGGAGCCCCACCGAAGGCCCCAGTGGCAGGGTTCGCATGGCGGCCCCGCGTTTTAGCGCTCCCCTCACACGGTTCGTAGCCCCATAGGGGGTTCCACCGAAAGGCCCCGGTGGCAGGGTTCGCATGGCGGCCCCGCACCATTTTGGCGCACCCATCACACGGTTCGTGGCCCCATAGGGGGTTCCACCGAACGCCCCAGTGGCAGGGTTCGCATGGCGGCCCCGCGCCAGTTTGGCGCACCCCTCACGGTCCGTGGCCCCATAGGGAGCTCCACCGAAGGCCCCAGTGGCAGGGTTCGCATGGCGGCCCCGCGCCAGTTTGGTGCACCCCTCACACGGTTCGTGGCCCCATAGGGAGCTCCACCGAAAGGCCCCAGTGGCAGGGTTCGCATGGCGGCCCCGCGCCAGTTTGGCGCACCCCTCGCACGGTTCTTGGCCCCATAGGGGGCTCCACCGAAGGCCCCAGTGGCAGGGTTCGCATGGCGGCCCCGCGCCAGTTTGGTGCACCCCTCACACGGGTCGTGGCCCCATAGGGAGCTCCACCGAAGGCCCCCGTGGCAGGGTTCGCATGGCGGCCCCGCACCATTTTGGCGCACCCCTCACACGGTTCGTGGCCCCATAGGGAGGTCCACCGAACGCCCCAGTGGCAGGGTTCGCATGGCGGCCCCGCGCCAGTTTGGTGCACCCCTCACACGGGTCGTGGCCCCATAGGGAGCTCCACCGAAGGCCCCAGTGGCAGGGTTCGCATGGCGGCCCCGCGCCATTTTGGCGCACCCCTCGCACGGTTTGTGGCCCCATAGGGGGCTCCACCGAAGGCCCCAGAGGCAGGGTTCGCATGGCGGCCCCGCGCCAGTTTGGTGCACCCCTCACACGGTTCGTGGCCCCATAGGGAGTTCCACCGAAAGCCCCAGTGGCAGGGTTCGCATGGCGGCCCCGCACCATTTTGGAGCACCCCTCACACGGGTCGTGGCCCCATAGGGAGTTCCACCGAACGCCCCAGTGGCAGGGTTCGCATGGCGGCCCCGCGCCAGTTTGGTGCACCCCTCACACGGGTCGTGGCCCCATAGGGAGCTCCACCGAAGGCCCCAGTGGCAGGGTTCGCATGGCGGCCCCGCACCATTTTGGCGCACCCTTCACGCGGTTCGTGGCCCCATATAGGGAGCTCCACCGAAGGCCCCAGTGGCAGGGTTCGCATGGCGGCCCCGCGCCAGTTTGGTGCACCCCTCACACGGTTCGTGGCCCCATGAGGAATTCCCTTGCTTCGTCCCACCTGCCCTGCGGTTTTCACACTTGCGTATGGTTGGGTCCTTTGCCTGGATAATTTGTTGTTGTTTTTTCTTTCTCCCTCTCTCTCTCTCTCTTTTTATCTCCATGTCTCTTTCCTTCTTTTTCTCTCTCTCTCTCCCCCTCTCTCTCTCGGTCATTACATCTCTCATTTGTTCCCAACCATCCTGTGGTGTTGGGCCCTCGTTTTGAAGAGACAGCGCCCCGCGTTCCCACTCCTCCTCCTGCCGCTCCTCCCTCCTCCCATCCCTGCCTCTGCATGCTCGCATGTCACTTTCGGCGCACCAATGACACGCTTCGTGGCCCCAGAGGGAGCTCCACCGAAGGCCCCAGTGGCAGGGTCCGCATGCAGTTCCACCCTCATTTAGGCGTACCATTCACACGTTTCGTGGTCCCATGGTGTGCTCCACCGAAGGCCCAAGTGGCAGGGTCTGCATGCAGTTCCACGTCGATTTCGGCGCACCTCTCACACGTTTCGTGCCCCATAGAATGCTCCGCCGAAGGCCCAAGTGGCAGGGTCTGCATGCAGTTCCACCCTCATTTCGGCGCACCCCTCACACGTTTCGTGGCCCCATAGGGAGTTCCACCGACGGCTCCAATGGCAGGGTCCGCATGCAGTTCCACCTCCGTTTCGGTGCACCTCTCGCACGTTTCGTGGCGCCATATGGTGCCCCGCTGAAGGCCCCAGTGGCAGGGTCCGCATGCTGTTCCACCCCCAGTTCGGCGCACCCCTCGCATGTCTCGTGGCCATAAGGTGCTCCGCCCGAGGCCCCAGTGGTGGGGTCCGCATGCAGTTCCACCTCCATGCTGGCGCACCCCTCGCATGTCTCGTGGCCCCTATAGGGTGCTCCACCCGAGGCCCCAGTGGCGGGGTCCGCGTGAAGTTCCACCTCCATTTTGGCGCACCCCTCGCATGTCTCGTGGCCGAAGGCCACAGTGGCAGGGCCCGCAAGCAATTCCACATCCATTTCGGCGCACCCCTTACACGTTTCGTGGCCCCATATGGCGTTCCACCCAGGGCCCCAGTGGTAGGGTCTGCATGCAGTTCCACACCCGTTTCGGCGCACCCCTCCCACGTTTTTTTGCCATAGTCCGGTCCACCGAAGGCCCCAGTGGAAGGGTCCGCATGCAGTTCCACCTCCATTTCGGCGCTCTCCTCGCACGTTCCGTGGCCCCATGAGGTGCTCCGCCGAAGGCTCCAGTGGCAGGGTCCACATGCAGTTCCACCCGCAATCCGGCGCACCCCTCACACGTTTCGTTGTCGCATAGGGTGCTCCACCGAAGGCCCCAGTGGCAGCGCCCGCATGCAGTTCCACCTTTCATATCGGCGCACTTCTCACACGTTTCGTGGCCCCATGGGGAGCTCCGCCAAAGGTCCTAGTGGCAGCGCCCGCACGCGGTTCCACCCTGCATGTCGGCGCGCCTTTCACACGTTTCATGGCCTCACATGGGGCTTCACCGACGGCTCCAGTGGCAGCGTCCGCATGGCGTATTCGTGCCAATTTTGGTACACCCGTCACAAGCGTCGTGCCCCTTGAGAGGTTCACCGAGGACGATACACACAACTGCGTTACTCACAACTCACATGGTTTGGTCCTTCGCCAGGATAATTTTGCTTTCTCCCTCTCTCTATTTTTGTTGTTCTCTCTCTCTCTCTCTCTTTCTCTCTCTCTCTCTCACACTTCTACCCCTGTGGGCCGTCCTATTGTATTGGCCGCTGGCGTCCATTTCAGTTGTAGCGCCTCGCTGAATCGCATTGTTGCTACATTCCTAGCATCTGGGCATTCACATTCGTCTAAGCCGTAACAGTTCGAGGTTGCGCTGAGTTCTTGTTGAAGAAGGTTGTGAACACAGCAGCTTGGGGCTTGTCGAACAGTCGTGTGACGGCTGGGTGCAGGCTGGGGCTATTATGGGGTCACCTCGGGCCATCGCCGGCGATCTGTAAAGGCACCTTGGATCACTTGTCCCAACCATCCGTGGTGTTTTTTCCGTCGTTTTGAAGAGACAGCGCCCCGCGTCCCTCCTCCCTCCTGCCTCCTCCTTCTCCTCCTCCTACCGCTCCTCCCTACTCCCGTCTCTGTCTTTGCCCTCCGCATGTCCTCATCGTCGTCATATGGCCGCATGCAGTTCCACCTCCATTTCGGCGCACCTCTCAACCGTTTCGTGGCCCCATCGGATGCTCCGCGTAAGGCCCCAGTGGCAAGCTCCGCATGCAGTTTCACTTTCCTGTCGGCGCGCATAAAGTTCCATTTCCATTTCAGCGCACCCCTCACACGTTTCGTGGCCCCAGAGGGTGCTCCACCGAAGGCCCCAGTGGCAGGGTCCCCGTGCAGTTCCACCCCCATTTCGGCGCATCTGTCACACGTTTCGTGGCCCCATAGGGTGCTCTACCGAAGGCCTGAGTGGCTGTGTCCACATGCAGTTCCACCCCCATTTCGGCGGACCCCTCACACGTTTCGTGGTCCCATGGTGTGCTCCCGCATGCAGTCCCCCCATTTCGGCGCACCGCTTACACGTTTCGTGGCCCCATCGGATGCTCCGCCGAATCCCCAGAGGCAGGGTCCGCATGCATTCCCCCTTCCATTTCAGCGCACCCCAGTCCGTATGGAGTTCCACCTCGATTTCAGCGCACCCCCCACACGTATCGTGGCCACTTTGGGTGCTCCACCGAAGGCCCCAGTGGCGGGATCCGCATGCAGTTCCACACATATTTCGGCGCAGCCCTTACACATTTTGTGGCCCTATAGTGTGCTCCGCCGAAGGCCGCAGAGGCAGGGTCCGCATGCAGTTCCACCTCCAATTTCGGTGCGGATCCCCACACGTATCGTGGCCACATAGGGTGCTCCACCGAAGGCCCCAGTGGCACCATCCGCATGTGTCCCCGCCACCCATGGCGGTACACCCGTTACACATTTCGTGGCCCCATTGGGAGCTCCACCGAGGATCCCAGTGGCGCCTGTCGCATGCGTCCCTGGCGCCCATTTCGGCCCCCCGGACGTTTCGTGGCAATATAAGGAGCTCCACCGAAGACGATGCTCACAACTACATTATTCACAACTGCTTAGGGGTCCTTCGTCTGACACTGCTTCTTTGGTCTGAGGAGGCATGATGGCATTTGTCTAATGCCTTGGTTGGGACATCTTGTGCGATCGGCGGGGGGAGGGCACCTGAAGGCCTGGATCATGGATGGCTGCTGCGGAACCATCGAGAGCAACGTTGGAACCACCTTGGAGCCTCTGGGTGTCCTCATGGTTTTTTCGTGGCGAATGTTTGTGCTTCTTGCTGTCTTTGCAGGAACGGGCCCCCGAGAATCCAATACATTCTATACGAGAGGTAATGGGGCTGGCTCGGGGTAGGCGAAAAGAGACAGGGCAAGAGTGATGGCATAACATATAATAGTACCATGAGGCACCAGTGGATTTCGAAGTGGGGTGGGCCTGGTGTATTGGGGCTATCTTCGGGCACTGATGCAGCCTTTTCGGAGGCATCTTGCGGCCTCCAGGGGGGCCATCTTCGAGGTATCCTAAGCAACATCGGGGCCATACTGAGGCTTCTGGGCGCGATCTTGTGGACTCCTGGAGGCATCTTGGGGCCAACTTGGGCCCTCTCGGCCGCCTGGTTGTGTCGCCAGGGGGATTCTGGGATAACCTGGGGCAGCGATGGGGGCCGAGTTTATGGTTCCCAGGTGACTCCAGCAAGGCACCGGTCCAGCAGTGTACCTCACAACCTCGCGCCCCCCTTCAGAATGGGCTGGTGGTTTTGCACTCGAACGGCATTGTCCACCGGGACATCACCCCGCGCAACTTCGTCTTTGGGCTGAGCCACAAGGTCCACCATCTTTACCTCACCGAGTTCGGCTCCAGCAAGGCGTACTGGGACGGCAGGGCACGAAGGCACGTCATGCAGAAGACAAGCGACCTGCCTGTTGGAGCCCTGCCTTACATGTCCGTCAACGCTCACCACGGCCTCGAGCAGAGCCGCCGAGACGACTTGGAGGCGGTCGGCTACATGCTCGTGGACTGCACGCGCCCGCTTCCCTGGGCTGACGTGCACTGCCAGGACGACGCTGAGGCCGCGAGGCAGACGAGGCGCCAGAAGGACCAGCGACCTCTTCCTCCGCCCTCCCTTCCTTGTACCTCCTCCCTCTCTCGTCTTTCGTCGTCGTCGTCCTCCTCCTTCTTTCTCCACCCTCTCGTCTTCTCCGTCCTTTTTCGTCCATCCTGCCTGACCCCTGCTGCCATAGATATCAGAGTCGGTGTCCAGTGGGCAACCCGACACTCACGCATCGACAACCGCGCTGGGACACGATTTATACCGCGTTGTCAATTGTTAAAATGTGGCGTCGCCGTTGTTTTGTGGCAATCCCCACACAAGTTATACGGACGATTGGGTTCCGATGACGCACAGGCATAATTCTTTCGAAGTATTTGCGTTTTTCACCTCGCAAGGGTCTGGCATCTTCATTCTTGCGCTTTGCGTCAAACCCAATCGTAGCGGAGTAGTGTTGACCACTACGCCTCGGCTCCCGAACAAGGTGATTCCAATCAGCGGCTCAACGCGACGTGGACCGACAGGGGCACAGTCGACGAGGGTATCATCGAGGGCATATTTGGTCAGTCGGTCAATCAGTTAGCCAGTCGGCGGTCGAGCGGTCAGTTGGTGCCATTCGGTCGGTTACTCAGTCGCTAAACTGGTTGATCAGCCAGCCAGTCGGTCGGTCGGTCGTTCGGTCAGTCAGTCGGTCAGCCAGTCAGCGGGCCAGTCAGCCACATAGTAACCTGGAAACCAGCTAGTCAGGCATACGAGAGGGAATCGGGGGGCAGGAGGAGATGGGGAAGGGGGAGGAAAAGGAGCAGGAGTCAGGAGGAGGATTGAACATAGGAAGAGGAGGAGGAGGAAGAGGAGGAGGAGGAGGAGGAGGAGGAGGAGGAAGAGAAAGAGGAGAAGAAGGAGGAGGAGGATGAAGATGAGAAGCAGGACGAGGACGAGGAGGACTAGGAGGGGCAGAAGAAGGATGACGATGATGAGGTTTCCGAGGAACAGGACGGAGGAGGTAGACGGAGGTTGACGAGGAGGATGAGGAGGCGGAGGACGAGGAGGAGACGGAGAAGGATGAGGATCAGGAATAGACGGAGTAAGATGAGGGTGGAGCGGTGGATGGAGGATGATGATGGGGAGGAGGAGGATACGGAGGAGGAGGAGGAGGAGAAGGAGGAAGTGGATGGGGGTGGTGATGATGATGACGATGATGATGCTGGTGATGATGGTGATGATGATGATGCTGATACTGATGATTCTGCTGATGGTGAGGATGATGATGACGATGATGATGACGAGGATGATGATCATGATGGTGATGATGCTGATGATGCTGATGATGATGCTGCTGATGAATCTGCTGCTGATGATGCTGACGGTGAGGATGCTGACGATGCTGATGATGAATCTGACAACGATGATGGCGCTGATGCTGATGACGACGATGCCATTGCCGAGTATGCTGACGATGATGGTAATGATGATGGTGGTGCTGATGGTGATGTTGTTGTTGATGATGATGATGACGTTGGTGATGATGATGACGATGGCGATGATGTTGATGGCGATGATGACGCTGATTGTGATGATGGTGATGGTGATGATGTCGATTATGATGATGGTGATGCTGCTGATGATGACGACGATGCTGGTTGTCATGATGTTGATGACGATGCTGCTGACGACAGTGAGGATGATGCTGCTGCTGATGGTGATGATGCCAGTGATGACGTTGGTGATGAGGATGGCGGGCATGATGAGGTTGATGTTGGCCCATGTGTTGATGCTGCTAATGATGATGCGGCTGAAGATGATGACGATGATGATGCTGCTGACGCTGCTGCTGATGATGCTGCAGATGATGATGCTGAGGAAGGTGATGATGCTCACAGTGACGATGGCGATGATGAGGATGATGATGATGATGCTGATGCTGATGATGCTGAGGAGGCTACCGTTGATGCTGATGACGATGACGACGATGATAAACTATAATGCTTACCATGATGCTGATGATGATGCTGCTGATGATAAGGTTGACGATGATGGTGATGCTAGTGATGTTGCGGACGATGGTGATGCTGAAGATCTTGATGATGATGTCCTGGTTGTTTATGCTGTTTCTGCTGGTAGTGATGGCGGTTGTGATTCTGAAGGGTGATGATGATAGTGGTGGTACCGATGGCAATGACGATAATGACGGTGACGCTGATGTTGATGAGGATGATGATGATGATGATGATGATGATGATGCTGCTGCTGCTGCTGCTAATGATGATGATGCTGATGATGATGATGACGATACTGGTGATGATGATGATGACGATGACGCTGATGGTGATTCTGGATACGATGATACTATTGCTGATGATGATGATGATGGTGCTGGTGATGCCGATGGTGATGATGAGGAAGATGCTGAGAAGGATGCTGATGATGATTCTGATGATGATGCTTATGCGGAGGCTCATGATGTGATGAAGGTGATACTGATGACGACGTTGATGTTGATGCTGCTGCTGCAGATGAGGATGCTGATGCTGATGCTGATGCTGATGATGATGATGATGATGATGATGATGGTGATGGTGATGATGATGCTGATGCTGCTGCTGATGATGATGGCGATGATGGTGATGATGATGCTGATTGTGATAATGATGACGATGCTGACGATGCTGATGATGATGGTGATGATGATGATGATGCTGATGATGATGATGATGATGACGATGATGATGATGATGATGATGACGATGCGGAGCAGGATGCTGATGCGTAGGATGAAGATGCGGAGGATGAACAAGAGGAGGCGGACACGGAGGCGGAGGACGCTGCCGCTGCTGATGATTGTGATGATGGCGACGACGATGTGGAGGAATCTGCTGCTGCTGATGAGGCTGATGCTGTGTTTGTTGATGCTTATGGTGATGATGATGATGCTGCTGCTACCACTGCTGCTGCTGATGATGTTGACGATGCTGCTGATGATGCTGCTGATGTATGGTAATGGTGTGGTTGAGGATGATGGTGGTGAGGAGGAGGCAGACCAGTCTGCTGATGAGCATGACCAGGCAGAGGAGAATGAGGAGGAGGAGACGGATGAGGATGAGTTGGATGATGCGGATGAGGTGCAGGAGGACACGTAGGAGGAACCGGAGGAGGAGGAGGATGAGGAGGAGGAGGACGAGGAGGAGGAGGGGCTCGGGGAGGGGAGGAGGAGGAGGAGGAGAGGAGGAGGAGGAGGAGGAGGAGAAGGAGGAGGAGAAGGAGGAGGAGGAGGAGGAGAGGAGGAGGAGGATGAGGAGGATGAGGAGGCGCAGGAGGAACAGGACGTGCGGTGGGTGGATGAGGGGGAGCAGGAGGAGGAGGAGGAGGAGGAGGAGGAGGAGGAGGAGGAGGAGGAGGAGTGGTGAGGACACGGGTGAGCAGGACAAGGATGAGTGCCGTTAATGGAGGCGGCGGGGGTGGAAGCGGAGGATGAGGAGGGTACGGGTAATTATCAGCACGGGTCAGGGTTTGAGCAGCAGTATGGCTCCTTAAGAAGACCGGGGGGTGATGAGGAGGAGGGGGAAGAGGCGACTGGGGGGGGGGTATGGTGGGAGGGAGGGTGAGGGGGATGATATGATGCTGCTGCGGCTGCTGCTGATGATGTTTGCGATGATGCTGATGCTGTTGATGATGATGATGATGATGATGATGATGCTGCTGATGATGATGATAATGATGATGATGATGACGATGCTGGTGATGATGACGATGATGCTGATGGTGATTATGGATACGATGATGCTGCTGCTGATGATGATGATGATGATGGTGCTGGTGATGCCGATGGTGATGATGAAGAAGATGCTGAGAAGGAGGCTGATGATGATTCTGATGATGATGCTTATGCGGAGGCTCATGATGTGATGAAGGTGATGCTGATGACGACGTCGATGTTGATGCTGCTGCTGCAGATGAGGATGCTGATGCTGATGATGATGATGATGATGATGCTGATGATGATGCTGATGATGATGATGCTGATGGTGATGGTGATGATGATGCTGATGCTGCTGCTGATGATGATGGCGATGATGGTGATGATGATGCTGATTGTGATGATGATGACGATGATGACGATGCTGTTGATGTTGATGATGATGATGCTGATGATGATGATGATGATGATGATGACGATGACGATGCGGAGCAGGATGCTGATGCGTAGGATGAAGATGCGGAGGATGAACAAGAGGAGGAGGACACGGAGGCGGAGGACGCTGCCGCTGCTGATGATTGTGATGATGGCGACGACGATGTGGAGGAATCTGCTGCTGCTGATGATGCTGATGCTGTGGTTGTTGATGCTTATGGTGATGATGATGATGCTGCTGCTACCACTGCTGCTGCTGATGATGTTGACGATGCTGCTGATGATGCTGCTGATGTATGGTAATGGTGTGGTTGAGGACGATGGTGGTGAGGAGGAGGCAGACCAGTCTGCTGATGAGCATGACCAGGCAGAGGAGAATGAGGAGGAGGAGACGGATGAGGATGAGTTGGATGATGAAGATGAGGTGCAGGAGGATACGTAGGAGGAAACGGAGGAGGATGAGGAGGATAAGGAGGAGGAGGACGAGGAGGAGGAGGGGCTCGGGGAGGAGGAGGAGGAGGAGGAGGAGGAGGAGGAGGAGGATCGTAGTGTAGCGCTGATGCCCTTGAGGGTAGGCATGACCCTGTCAGTCGGATGGGACACATGGGCTCTCCCATCCTGGAGCGGTGCTCGTGAGGGTTGGGGTGGCAACCCTTGTGGTCCCAGAGCCTGTGCGGGGACCGTTGAAGGCACCGTGTAATGTTGGACGGTACGTGTGGTCGACACGCCCGAGACAGCCACCTCTGTTCGACGCATGCGGTTAGGCGGTGGGGGCTTCGCGACAAGTGACGTCGCCGCCTATCATGCAAGTGATGAGGCGCGAAGCGTGTCACATCGCCTGGTCGGAGGATGAGCTGGCATCCCCCAGAATTGCGTCAGACGCTGACTCCCTAGCCTAGTATGGAGTTCCTGTGGAAGC